GAGTTTATTGACTTCTGCCCTGATAATATGATTTCACTTTGGTGCAAATCTCCTATGCTTTTGTCAGTGTGAAGGACAACTCGGATCAACGTTTAGCTGGTGACATGCCCCATCTGGGTCAATCCTCGGCATGTCTCTATAGGACTATGCAAAAACATCCATGTTGTTTCTTAGAAATTTTAGCAACTCTTCGAATTCCATATTAGATAGGAATAAGCCTACCCAAATTTGTTTCTCAAGATCAGTTGGATCCAAAACCTCTTCCCCTAGTGGTTCTATAGTCGGAGGTTCCTAATCGTCACTTTTCTGATCATGTTATGATTGGTCATCCATTAATTGTTATAATGGTTTATTCTTATACAAGTCCGAGCTCTGTTGCACTTTCCTGACTGTCTTGATGTTTGTAGCCATGCTGTAGCACTTTCTGGCCTTCAGTTGATCCCCTTTGATGTTGATTGTTGTTTGACCATTCGTCGACAAACACCTCATCACTTGACATCTGGTTGACTCTTCTCCATCCATTTGATGGATCTAGTCCTTTTCCATGATAGCGTTATACGCACTTGGTGCATTGATAATGACAAAAATGATGAAAAAAGGTCTTACCTGCTGCAGTGACGGGAATAGTCACATCTTTAATGAGTCGGCCTTTCGTTCCTTCAAACGCATCAATGGGAGTTGGATTTTGCCTTATCTTTTTCTCGTCTAATTTCATCATTATAAATGTGCTCCAGAATAGAACGTTTATGCTGCTCCCTTATCAATCATTATCCTTTTCACTCTTGATGACTAGTGCATCATTATGAGGGAATTGAATTCCTAAGAGGTCTTTTTCGTTAAAGGAGATAACTCCGAGATTCTCTAATGCTTTGGATGCTTCAAGGGCTGATGTTATGTTGTGTACTCGTCTAGACTTCTCGTCCTTGCGACTGAGAGCGTGTTTCTCGTCATCAAGGAGTTAGGGTCCACCATGTATGACATTGATATCCAATAGTCTCTCATCGGCCCCAATGTTTCCTATTATTACTTTAAGTCCTCCGTCATTCTTACATTCATCTCTTGATTCCATGCAGTACTATGACAGCATCCTCTTCTTCAGCATAGCATCCATTTGGTTCCTGAGGCTTCGACAATCATTGATAGTATGACCAAAGTCATTATGAAGAACACACATCTTGTTCATGTCTCACTTCCCTAGCAGCGCTCAAATCGGTGCTGGTGCACGAAAAATTCCCTTTCTCTTGTTCTCATAAAAAATTTTGCCCAAGCTCACTGTCAGCTTATTTTCTGGAACAATTGATCACATTACTGGAAGAATTGAACACTTATTGAAAACCAAAATAAGCTGTAAAACTAGCTAAACAGATACTACCATATTTAATCAAAATCAAAATAAACTACCTAATTGTGAAGACATGTTGCCTCAATGATACACTAATGAAACATCACAATAGTCTTCCAATTTCGAAGTAGTTGACTCCCACTATTCAAAAGACTCCACAACCCCCAGCTTTGTAACATGCTCTTTGAATACATTGTTTGGCTAGGCTTTAGTAAGAGTATTTGCAATCATTGCACTAGTAGATAAGTACTGAATATCAATCTCTCATTTCTTGACCATTTCTCTAACTTTCGGGAAATTCATATCCATTAACCTTGAAGCTGAAGTCCTCTTGTTATTCTTTGAGAAAAATACAGCAACATTGTTATCACATAACATCTTTATAGGCCTTTTAACTAAATCTACAAGCTTCATATCAACAATTAAGTTTATGAGCCAAACAGCTTGCTTCATTCCTTCAAAACATGCTACAAATTCAGCTTCCATAGTTGAAGTTGACACTATAGTCTGCTTAGCACTCTTCCATGACATAGCACTTCCACTTAGCTTAAAATATATCCAACAGTTGATTTCCTTTCATCCACATCCCCAATAAGATCTAAATCAGTAAATCCAATCAACTCCAATGAATCATTGTGCCCATAAACTAGCATAAACCCTTTAGTTCTCTACAAATATCTAACTCCTTCTTAACTGCCACTCAGTGAGCTTTTCCAGGATTTCATTGAAATCTTCCCAAAAGTCCAACAGTGAAAGCCAAATCAGGTATTGTGCAGATATTAACATACATAACACTGACAACTAATGAAGCATACGGTTTCATATTTATTAACTTAGTCTCAAGTTCATTCTTGGGACATTGATCTCGAGAGAATTTATCACCCTTATTCACATGAGCATTAGCCTTGTTACAACTATCCATGTTAAACATATTAAGTACTCTCTCTATGTAGCCCTTCTAAGATAAATCAAGAAGCTTTTGTTTTCTCTCTCTCACAATTTCAATTCCCAGAACATAGTGAGCTTCTCCAAGGTCCATCATTTCAAAATTTGTGCTCAACATGCTTTTGGTTTCTTTCAATAGTTGCATATCCAAGCTTGCAAGCAAGATATGATCAACATATAAGACAAGAAATATGAATTTAGATCCCTTGGACGTGATATAGATGCAATCATCCATCTTGTTTTCAACAAACCCTCAACTTGATCAAATTTTGGAAACCATTGTCTTGATCAACTTGATCAACTTGATCAAATTTTGTTCAACTTGCAGACCATATCTTTTTTCCCCTTTTCAACAAATCCAGGAGGTTGAGACATAAAAATCTCCTCATCAAGTTCACCATTCAAGAATGCAGTTTTTACATCCATCTAGTGCAGTTCCAAGTCAAAATGTGCTATCGATGCCATTATCACTCTCATAGAATCCTTGGAAGAAATAGGTGATAAGGTGTCATTGTAATCAATACCATCTCTTTATGTGAATCCCTTTACAACTAATCGAGCTTTGAATCTCTCAACTCTTCCCTCGGCATCTCTTTTGGTCTTAAACACCCACTTACGTCCAATTGATTTATTGTTAGCTGGCGACTTCACTATAGACCAAACACTATTTTTAGACATTGAATCAAGTTCTTATGCCATTGCTTGCTGCCATAGAACTACCTGAGGACTCTTCATAGCTTGCTTATAAGTCACAGGGTCATCAATTCACCATAATCAAATTCTATCTCTTGGAGGTACACATAGTCTTTTGAGATCACATGTTTCTTTACTTTATTAGATTTCCTTAGTTGTGGTTGATCAATCAAATTCTCTGTAGTTTGAACATTGAGATTTTGATCCTAAATTCCTACTTAATCCTCAATACTTGTATTCTTAGCATTTGTATTCTCAAGCTCTGCCATGCCTTCATCAAAGTCGGCAATTTCTGAGTGAGACCTTTGAAATATAGGTACTTGATTGTAGTTTAGTTGTGAAGAAGAATTATCTGACTGCACTATTTCCTCAAAACCAAATTTATCTTTAGTCATGTTTGATACATCTTCATCCTCCAAAAAAATGGCATTGTGAGTTTCTTGAACCCTTGTATATGCTTGTGTGCAATAGAACTTGAAACTCTTTGACTTATCTGAGTAACCAATGAAAAAACATGTAGTTGTTCTAGAGTTTAGCTTCTTTTTACTTGGATTGTAGAATTTTGCCTTTGCTTTGCAGCCCCAGACATGGAAGTGATTGAAACTTGGTATTATCCCTTGCCATAGTTCAAAAGGTGTCTTGGGTACAGATTTTGATGGCATTCAATTGAGAATATAATTTCCAGACTTTAATGTCTTTCCCCAAAGAAAATTTGGAAGCTTTGATCTTGAAATCTTGCTTCTCACCATTTCCATAAGAGTTCTATTTCTCCTTTCTGCCACTCCATTCTATTATGGGTACCAGGAGTGGTATATTGTGCCACAATCCCTTGACTTTCAAGAAAATGAGCAAATGGACCCCTTTGTTGCCTTGCCTCTGTATGCCTACCAAAGTATTCCTCTTCCCTATCTAATCTAACAATTTTAATCACATGATTTAACTGTTTTTCAACTTCACTTTTAAAAACTTTGAAACATTCAAGGACTGCAGATTTCTCACTAATAAGGTAAATGTAAGTGAATCTGGAGAAGTCATCTATAAAGTTCACAAAATAAGTGTTCTCACAAATGATTTTGATAGGAAAAGGTCCATAGATATCTGTGTGAATGATTTTGAGCTAGCCATGACTTCTTTTGGCATCTAACTTTCTATCATTAGTCATCTTGCCTTTTATGCAGTCAACACATACAGTAACAGTTTTAATATCAATTGCAGGGATTAAGTTCAATTTACATAATTGAAAAACTCTTTCTTTTGAAGTATGTCTTAATCTTTTGTGCCAAAGCATAAAGGATTGATCAAAAGCATGCATCCTTTTAGTGGCAGTATTTAAAACATGCAAGTTTTCAAAATCTACATTGCACTGTAATTTCCAAAGATGATCATATAAAAATGTTTTTCCCTGCAAAGATCCTTTTTTAAAAAACTTGACACATTCAGCATCTCCCATAAATACATAGCCTTGTTTAACTAGTTTTGATGCAGAAACCAAATTTTTCCTCATTAGGCACATATAACACATCTTTCAACTGCATTGTTAAACCAGTATCTAATTTCAACTTGACAGTACCAATGGCCTCCATAGACACTTTGGTTCCTTCCCCCACGAAAACATTAAAACTACTTGTTTTCTTTTGTTCCTTAAAACCTTGCAAAGAATTAGTGATATGCACAAATGCTCCAATATCAAACCACCAAGAGTTTGTGGGAGTATCTATAAGATTTGCTCCTCACAGACATAGATATCAGTTCTACCCTTAGATCTCAGCCAATCCTTGAATATTTCCTAGTCTTTTCTATAATGACCCTTAGTTTTGCAATGATGACATTTTACTTTTTCAATGTTTTTAGTTTTCACTTTAAATTTGTTAGACTTAGAGGAACTAGAACTTTTAGCAGGCATAACAGTTTTATCAAAAGTCTGAGATTTAGAAGTTTTACCAAAATTTGCCTCCTTATTCCCTTTGGTAGCTTTCCCAAAATTGACAGTCTCAGATTCCTTGCCCTTCTATTGCTTTTGTTAGTTCTCTTCTTGCACACATTGAGCAATGAGTTCATCCACAGTATAAGTCTTGTCTTGAGTATTATAGGACACTTTAAGTTGACTAAATTTCTGTGGTAATGCTTGCAGTATCATGAAAACAAGTTGTTTTTCCCCAATGTTAACATACATGGAAGTCAGCTTCTCAGCTGCATCAGTCATTTTCATAATGTGGTCTTTGATTGAGCCTCCTCCTTCAAACTTGTAAGAAGTTAAAAGAGACATATATTGAGCAATCTCAGCCTTCTTTGGTTCTTTAAATTTATTCTCAATGGCTTGGAGGTAATCTTTGGTAAAAGTTGACTTTTTGATACCACCACGCACAGTGTCAGTCATGTCACCTTCCAATATGGATAGAGCCACTTTGTTGGCTCTAGTCCATCTCTCAAAGTCAGTCTTCTTAACCTTGGTGCTTCTATTAGTCATGGCCTTAGGTTGTGGATTATCAAGGGCGATGTCATACTCATTTAGTGTCATAAGTAATTCAATCTCTTTTCTCCATTTTTTGTAATTGCTTCCACTAGTGAGTATTGGCACTGGTGCTAAATTGAGTGACTTTAGTGAAACTGCATTAGACATCAATGAAATTAGCACTATGAATCTTGAAGATTCTTGATTTCTATCTTTTCACTACCCAAAAATTGTTTGTTGAATCAACTTACTCATACATATGATCTTATTTTCAAAGACATATATAGAGTAAACAACTCAATGAGATTTAGTAAACTTCTGCAAAATTGATCAACACAGATTGTACAACATACATACATATATACACACACACACACACACATGAACCAACAAGAAGTCTTTGACAACATACATACATACACACACACACACACACACACACACGAACCAACAAGAAGTCTTTGTCTACTTTAGCATCTATCTTGACTCAAAACTATATTTTAGACAAGTAACAAGGAAGAGAAAGGTCCATCAAAGACGATGAGGGAGAACCCTCTTCAAAGAATAGAATGAAAAGACAAAATCCCATATTTCCCAATGGTCAAATTTTAGTTATTAAACATTTTACAAAAACGACACCATTATGCGATTTATATAAGCCTTTTTATTAAACACACTCAAGAACAAAATCTTTAAAACATACCTGCATTATTCGATCCTAATGATGAAGCCATTGCAGCTTGCTCAAAACCTTCTCCTCTTTGGCAAAATAATAGCTCTTTTAGTCAATAGGTCTTGGACAAAATAAGCTACCAAATTGCAAGAGCAGTTGTTTGAGTGTATAGATACAGATATATATATATATATAGTAGTCCTCTAACTTATTCCCTATCAGAATTAGTCTAGGATTCAAACTATACAAACCATAAAGAACTATGAAACCAAATAGAGTTCCAACACTAAGTTCTTTTCCCAAACCATTGAACTTCACACAATTCTGTTATCCTAAAACATTGAGGATAACCAAATAGCTTTAATCAAGACTTTTCCATATCAATCTCAAACACTATAACCGGTTCTACCTCACATTTTATACTCACAATCTTACAAAATAAATTAAACCAAAATAAAGAAAAACTAAAACTAACAAAAATAAAAATAAATCCATCACTCTCCCAAATCATCCACGATGCGCCGACAACTATCAAGTCCCCTATCATCCATCACCCTTCCTAGTGACAAACACCAGCCCACGCTATCTTTCAATTCCGGTAAAAAAAAATTTAGAAAAAAAAAGGAGCCAGAGAGAGCAAAATAGTTCCTTGGAACAATAAAAATCGCAATGTTGCACTTGGCCAGGTTTCTATGTCCTTATACCTCATTTTGTCAATGGAAAAACTTGTGAATACAATTTTATTAAGTAGGTGGGAAATAAAACATAGAGATAGGCATTAGGTGGGAAATAAGACATAGAGATAGGCATATTAGCATGAAGGGAAATTTTGAGATTTCTATGGGATTTCTAGTGACTTGCATGCATATACAATTCTAAATTTCTATACATAAGCAACGGAAGCATATTATCACATATTATCAAAGCTATAATCATGCAAATCCCCTTCAAGAAGCATATGTTCATATACGATGCATCAAACAAAATATTGAAGAACAAAGTTAAGGTTGAGTTTTATACCTCTTGATCTAGACTTTAGACCAATGATGGACCACCTCCAGGCTCTTTGTTCTTTGAACTCCTTGAGTCTAGCCTCCCTCCTTGCTTCCTCCACCTTAAAGATTTAGGGCTCCCTTAAGCCTCCAAGTATATAGAAGACCTCTACATATCCACACCCACTAGTGTAGTGAGATGGATGTTGGAATAATCAAAAGGAGAAGAGATGATTAGCTATTTTCTCCTCTTAGTGACCGGCTATGTGTGTGTAGAGAGAGAGAGACTTATTTTTCTCTTGTTGAAAAGGACACACAAAAGCCCTAATGAAACTTTTTTCATTAAACTCCCTTTATAAAGGTAAAAGAAGTAAGTCAACTACTTGACTCTTTCTCTCTCTTCTTTCCTCATCCTTGGCCGGCCACTTAGTGTTGGTTTGGACTTTGGGTTTTTATCATTTCAAGTCATTAGCTTATTGATAATCTTTAAGATGCATTAGCTTATTGATGATGTCTCAACAGTTTTGGGACAATCAACAACTCTAGCTAACACAAGTTATTTAAATGAACATACTCAAAAGAATTCCTTCTCAAGTAATCCCATTTGATATGTGTGACTTATTTTATCAAGTCCATTCATTTAAATTGTATGGTGTCAAACACCATACTTCAAGTTTTAGTCATACTAAGATCTTTAAAGTAGTCATATAAGAATTATCCAAATCATTAGTGGAAGCATGGCTCCTACTAAGGATATAGGAATTCAACCATACCATCTAGGTGGTTGATTTAATTCTTCATCAAAACTACATAGAGCATATTAGTTACATGAGGTGCCGAAACTGGGTTGTCTTGTCATTAAACACTATGTTGTGACTCAATTTGAAACTATTCCCTTTTGTTTCATCAACTTGTCCATTTTCTTTGATATTAGCATGTTCTCATAAAAGAGAATGACGGACAACTCCCAACATACCCATTATATGCTAGGTTGGCGAAACCAACATCCATAAGTCACCCTTAGGATGTTACACAACGTAGAATCTTTAACACTTGACCTTAATGAGATAAGACATATCATATTTAAGTTTATATCCATTTTCACCTCCCACTGTTTCTCATGACCTTAATGAGAAATTGCATTATACATTCAAAATGTACAATTATGAATACACGGGTAGAGGACATAGTGGAGAAGCTTCAAACCTTTCAAGCTTATCATTTTAACTCCATTAAGTTGATGTCTTGTTATTAAGTGACTAAGGTCTTTAAACCTTTTATAGATTTTAGACACTTATTCTTGGTTTGGTTACTACTGACACATTTGACATTTCTTAAGACAATTTAAGAGTGTCCAATTAGTTGTTCAAAACTACTAGTTGAACCAAGAGTGATCTTGGTGATTGTGCTCAAGTAAGTTATAACCATATAAGAAATGTTTTCTTATGTCCTATTCACTTCATTATAATGTGATCTTCCTTTTCTACTAGAAAGGAATCTCTAGACTTTCTCAATACATATAGAACTCATATGAAGGCAATTGGAACCAAATCTAAAGATTCATTGTATCCATCTAAGGCCAACATGTGAGACCTATCTTTAATTGATAGATCTAAAGTTTGGTTATCACATTATGTAAGTGATAGATTATTTTGTATTTCATCTTAAATATAACTAGACAATATTCAATTCATAACACTACTTTAAGGAACAAATATAGTAGAAGGCATTCACCATATTACATTAATACAATAAGTTAAACATTCATAAAGTTTAATACGAAAGTATTAGCTCTAACATTAGAGACTAATTATGTGCCTTCACATAGGCACCAAAATGGATCTTCCATCACATGAAGCCACATAATAAGTTCTTAACAAATTGAAGAGCAAGTTAAAGACTGTCTTTAAATGCCTAATGTCCTCCTAAGTAGTAGCAAAAAATAATGGATTGAACTCTTCTTCTCCATCCTTCTTCCTTACTTGTCCATCTTCTACTTGGCTGCTTCACCTACATACAATTGCATAAGTGATTAGCCTTTTATATCTCATATAAAATTAGAAGATCTAACAATTAGAATTCAACGTAAGAACAAACTCATACCTTGTGGTTTGTCCTTAAGAGATGCGAGGTAAGACCTGCAATTCCTCTTCCAATGCCCGTCATTTCCATAGTGGAAACAAGGTCCCTTGGGCTCTTTTTCCTTCTTCTTCTTCACTTCTCCTTGGGCCTTAGGAATGGATGACTTCTTCTCCTTCCCCTTGCCTTTGCCTTTCGACTTGGCCTTAGAAGTGGATGGCTTGTTGTGGATGATAGCTGCAATCCCTACAACGCTCTCTTTCTTCATAGTCCTCTCAGCGGTTATTAACATATTTAGTAACTTAGAAAGAGTGATATCCATCATGTTCATATTGTAGTTCATTATGAACTGCAAGAACGAATCAGAAAGAAAAGCCAAGATGAAGTCTTAGGCCAATTCCCCGTCAAGTGGAGTACCTAAGTTCTCCAATTGTTCAATGAATCCAATCATCTTCAATACATGCTGATGCACTTGAGCTCTATTGACCATTTTGGTCTTCACAAGTTCATTGATAGTGCTGAAGCAACGGTTGCGAGTCCCTTCACCATATAACTCCATAAGATAGAGTATAATGGAGGATGCATTGTCCATACCCTCGTGTTGTCTCTGCAGCTCATCATTCATGGAAACCAACAGATAGCAATTGGCTTATGTATCATCCTCAACGTGCTTGTCATACTTAGCACGCTCATCCTCAGTGGCCTCAGGGCCAGGAGGTATGTGAGGTAGAGTCTTGTCTTGTACGTAAACAATTTTCTCCAAGGTTAGGAGAATTTTGACATTACGGTACCAAGATGGGAAATTGTGCCCCTCAAGGTAATGCTTGTTGAGTATCTTTGATAGTGCATTTCCAACCATATCTAAATACATAACAATAAAATAAATTAGTTTGATTGTTGATTAAGTCAAACGATTCGAGTCTTTAAATCGAATGACACCACCCACTATTTTTGGCAAATCTCATATCCCTCAAGATGGAATCTGGGATATTTCAAAGAAAGCTCCCAGTGGGTTATGGGAGGCTCACTATTACCAAGCCCACCTCATAATGATATGATGTTCGTTAGCAAAAATAATAATTAGAGGGTAAAGTTACCCATTCACAACAACCTCTTATGAATACCCATCTAATTGGCCTCTAGAGAGCAATGTCTCACAATGATATGAAGTTGGCACCATTTCTCTTAGTTAAGTTTTGACCCACCATGACGGTTCCGATAGGGGTCCAAGTATGACCTCACAATGATATGATGTTGGCCATACTCGTCACATTCCTTCACCACATCAAATGTTGAAATAGACTCTTCTTGAGTATAAGCACATACTTTGAACTCCCCCTTGATAGGGTGAAGACGGTGTATGAGTCATAAATGATTGGAGCCTACTATAGTGGAAGGCCACAAAGAAGTATTCAAAGCACCTCTTCGCTTTCAACTTAATATTGGATGTTGATTGAGGGATTTTAAGGTCTCATCATTTTATTTATTTAATCATATTGAAATAAATTGTGTCCTATTACAGCTACTAGTCCAAAGCAAATGAGATTAGTAGTATATGATATCCCCACTATTCGTTTCACAAAACAAATCAATATCAAAACAATTTTTCAAAATATTGGAGATATGTATAACTACTAATTAAGTTCATTTTAGTTTAGTAGCGTATGATACTCCCACTATTCGTTTTCGCAAAACAAATCAATATTAAAACAATTTTTCAAAATATTGGAAGTATATACTACTACTAACAGAAGTTTACATTCCTTTTTAATTTGGACTTTATAGTTATCTTAGGCTCTTTGGATGACTATGGACTTTTAAGGTTGATTTAACAACGAGCCAACATTGCTGAATAAGATCTAAGGAAGGTAGTGTTGTTTTAATTACGCTCTTTCAATCCAATTAAAAGATTTTTTCATTGAGCCTTTAGAAACGAAAGATAATCATTCATTGCTAATTAGGGTGTTGGACCCAACAAATCTTTAATCTC